CCGAGCAGCGCTGACCTCGGCTGGATGCAAGTTTTGGATCTAGAGCTTGGGGCAAACCATATACTGTCGGATCGACTTCAACCCCCGACATCCCTAAGACGCACACATTTCATGCTAGCACGTTCTGCTGGTTGCAAGGGTTGCTTGGAGGTTCATGGGTAGTTATAAGTGGAGTTACAAGTCCCCTAATATGGGTTATGATTATAGTTACCCAACTTATAACCCCAATTACGACTACCCATGAACCTCCAAGTAGGGCTTAGTTCTCCTGGCAGACGGGTCAGATTCACCGTTTTCGGGCTCAGAGCTCAGAGTGTGGAGTTGCTAAGGTTGAGAATAAATGTAGAGGCCTATAAATCCTTACCAATACTGATACTCACTTAAAAGTTTCTTATTAAGACTATAGTATAATGGGCCCCCAAAACCCTATTCGAATTATGGAGGCCCCTAAGCCCTGAACCCCTTATAGTAACCCTTATAGTATCCCTTTTAAAGGAACCCTTTAAAGGAACCCTATTCTATTTCTTAAGGCCCCTTTAAAGGAACCCTTTGAAGGAACCCTATTCTAATTATTAGGGCCCCTGCACTATTAGCAGGAGCATCTTTTGGGTCCTTGGGTCCTTGAGCTTTCGGACGTGGGCTTGGCGAGTTCTGGAGTTTTAGGGTTTAGGGTTTAGGGTTTAGGGTTTCGAGTTCTGGAGTTTTTGGACTTCGACCCCATGATGCCAACTACGAATTGTCGGGGTGGGGTCTGCCGCGGCGGGGGGGGGGAGCTGAGAGTTCATAATTAGGGTTCTAGCGGATAGGGTTCTAGGGTTTAGGGTTCTAGGGCTTTGGGTTTATAGGGTTTAGGGTTTTAGGGTTTAGGGTTTAGGTCTCGACTAGTCTAGTGATTCGACTTCGTCGGGTGTAGGTTCCCATTGTTCTCCGACCGTCTTGTTGCATCTGAAGGCTTGTGTTGAGGGTTGATGCGGTTGCGAAACAGGGGGAAGTACTACTACTACTACTACTACTACTACTACAACTACAACTACGACTACTACTACTACTACTACTACTACTACTACTGTTATGGTTTGGCAATTAAGGGTTTTGGGGGGTTTATAGGGCGTGAGGACTTAGTTCGTTGCTTAGGGTTTAGATGTCTTCTTGCCGAAGCCCACGAGCTGCAGGCGCATGGTTTAGAAAGTCTAGGGTTTACCTATAGTCTCCATTGGAGTTCCTTTTTGGGGTTACCTTATAAGATCCTTAATATAGAATTGGTTAAACCAAAAAAGGAACTACAATGGAGACTATACGGTTTAGCAGGAAGACGCAGTGGAAAATCATGATGTCAATACTGGCAGTGGCCCATACGATACTGGGGGAAAAACACAAACAAGAATGTGTAGATGCTGTTCGTGGAAGTCCAAGCCCCAACTTCCGAGCCCAATGCCTCGAAGTCTTGAACCGCTAGCAGTACGTCCCCTAGGCCCTAAACCCTAAACCCTACGCCCCCAAAACCCCCTAAAGCCCTAAGCAAAGAGCCCAGCACGTCCACCCAGATCGTCTCGTTGGTGGTTCGAGGGGGATCCCGGGCCTTTTTTCCTGCTCTGTGCCGGGGTCTCGGGTGTCGGACCCAAGTTGCACCCAGAGAGCCCAATACCCCTTAATTAAGGGATATACCTTAAATCATAATATTAAGACCCCTATAATTTAAGGTATATTCCTTAATTAAGGAGTACTGGGCTCTCTGGGCAAAGCTACAGTTCAGGGGTTTGCAGCTGCTTAGAGCAAGTTTAAGGCCCCCTATCCTGGTTATGAAGGCCCTTGCGTTAGCACAGGGGCCTAAATATAATAATTCTACGTATTATGGCCCCTACGTTAGATGATTATACTATAAAGGACCCCAAAACCCTATTCTAAGTATTATGGCCCCTACGTTAGGCTTTAGGGTTCGGGCGCCTCGACCCCAAGGCTTCGTCTTAGCTACTTCCACATCGGAGCTTACAAACACACAACGGCTTAGATAGCCGATGGGAGAACTTTAAACTTTTTGACCTTATGTCTTAGGTCTATCCTAAAAAGTTTGAACTTTTTTGGGCCTGGTTGTTGAAGAAGAGAGACGGCTGAGGCTTAGGTTTGGTTTTCGGGGTTTAGGCTTCACGGATTGAAGCGTTTAGGGCTTAGGGTCTGCAGATCTCAAGGCTCAAATGTTTCGCGCTCAGCCCTGACTGTTAGAGCATAGATGCCATACCTGAACCCTATCAATCTTTGCTAAGCCGCATCCATCAAACATTCGGATCCTAACTACGACACACTCCGAAAGGGTGGATCCGAAAGCCCTCGATGCGCCACAGAGGCCTTGGAAGTTGTCCCCAAATGCCCTACAATTTTACCTAAAGTTGAAGGTCTGTGTTTTGTGGCCATAGTGTAGTGGACTAGAAGTAAGGCGGGCGGGGGATTAGAAGTAAGGAAATGGTCTGGTTCCAAAATTAAGATGCTGGTTTACTATGGCTCTACTCATCACCGACAAAGCCTGCAGAATGCTAGGTCGTGTAGTTCTGAATTCGATCGAAGTGGTTTGGGTGTTCAAGAAGGTCTTTGCAGGAGACGCAGACAACTGTTGATCATCCTGCCGTCTGATCATTTGCCGCCCCCTAACCCTAAACCCTAAACCCTAAACCCTAAACCGCGTACAATCTTAAAGTGCAGAACCTCAAACCCAAAGGGCCCCAATCATTGAAATCCACAAGCCCTAAGCATCCCCAATACCCTAGACCATAAAATTCCTAAAATCCCCCAAAACCCTAAATCCGAAAATCCCTAAAAATCCCTAAAAATCCCGAAAGCCCTAGACCCTAAAACTCCTGAAAAATCCCCAAAGGCCCTAAAGTCCCTACAATTCCTTCAACCCTCAAGTCCCTCAACCCCAAACACCTGCCCTCGCTCGGCCCTGTATGACAGGGGTCGGTTTAGAGTTTAGGGTTCAGGGTTTAGTTTTAGAGTTTAGGGTTTAGGGTTTAGTTTTAGAGTTTAGGGTTCAGGGTTTAGTTTTAGAGTTTAGGGTTTAGGGTTTAGAGTCGGCTGTATGAGAAATAGTATACCCTCAGAGTTGGAGTAGAACTCTAGCACACTTCTCCCCCAAATCCTAGTCTACTGACTGAAGCCGCTGTGACTGAAGCCGCTACATTAGTGGGTTTAGGGATGTTTAGGGTTTAGGGTTTTCGGCAGGGTCAAGTTTAAGCCTCATTGATTCAAGGAGCAGCAAGAGGTCCCGGGGATCCCTGCCTACTCTCACGCAAAGATCACCTCTAACGCCCTGGAGAACCCAATATCGCCGCTTTTTTGAACCCATGGAGGATGTTCGAAAGAACTTCCAGAACTGGTATCACCCCTACTGTTACTTGCGGAGCCCCTGCTGAGGTCTCTGCGATAGGGATGGACGTGGCATCCTCAACATCCGTGCTTCCAGGTTTTTCTGGGTTTCTGGGAAATCGTGGTTCCAGCGCTTTCTCCGAACACCCCACCCTAACCCTCTAAGCGCCTTAAACCATCCTAAGCCCTCATCCCCTTAATTCCCTACATAAACCCTGTAAGCCCTGACGCTGAGACGGTTTCAATTCCTTAGGGGCTGAGTAGGTAACCTTTAACCTTTTGGGCCTTGTATAATCCTACTATCATTCAAAAGGTTAACCTTTTTTGGGCTGGGGTACTCAGCCCCTAGGATTCAGGGATAGGAAGTTTGTTCGGCCTTTGGCGCCACTGCGGCAGCCAAGAGCCGCCCTGGAGAGCTTGGGGTTTAGGGTTTAGGTCCTTTAGGGTTTAGGGTTTTAGGGCTTTAGGGCTTTAAGGGTTTAGGGTTTAGGGTTCAATATAGCGGCCAAAACATGTACCAAGACTATTTTGGGTGGGTGCCCTAATATAATTATAGTATAATGGGCCCCAAGAACCCTATTCTAATTATTAAGGCCCCTACATTAGGGTTGTTCATGGAGGTACATGGTCGTTAGAAGTGGCTGGGGCTATAAGGCTATAAGTAGGGTAACTATAATTATATGACCCACATTAGGGGAGGTATAGCCCTCAACCCTAAACCCTAAACCCTAAACCCTCTACCCATGAACCTCTGAGTTGAGCTTGGAACGTGTTTTCTATATGTGATCTATTCGGACAAGTTTTCCCCTAAACCCCTGGAGCCTAAAACCGTTAGCACCGTTAAACACCAAAGGAAGCTGGGTTCACAGGAGTCCAGGTGCGAAGTTCAACAGTAGGCAACTACCACCTCTTAGTCCCCCAAACTTTGTCTAGTTTAGGTTTTGGGTTTAGGGTTTGGGTTTCGGGTTTGGGGTGTTGGTTTAGGGTTTAGGGTTTAGGTTTAGGGTTTGGGGTTGAGGGTTTGGGGTTTAGTAGTGCCTGGCTGGGACGTCAGAGGCTGGGGTTCTGCAGTTACCATAGGGGTCCCCTTACGGGAACCCAAGGACCCTCTCGATTCGGACTTGTACTGTACTTTGAACTACCATAACCTACTTTTGTGTAAGGTCTCATGAAAAGCCCCTCAACCCTTAATTCCCCAAACCCTAAACCTTTGAACCGTAAATTCTAAAGCCTAAACCCTAAAAGTACGTGTTGGTAGCTTCAGGTAATTCGCAGGTGATTCATGGCTTACGGCAGCGTTCAGCTTTTGGCTTTCACGCGCTGCAGGGCTTATAGGGCTTAGGGTTTAGGGCTTAGCGCACTTGAGTTATATATGGGCTTTAGGATTTAGTAAACTTAGAGTCTAGGTATTTGGAACTGAGCAAGCGCTGTTCGGGGGGTAGTAGCACTTACCTGGCGCCTATGTGGGGCTTGGTCTTTGCATTCTGGGCTTTGAGATGCGATGGGCAACTACATTGTTACATCCGGGCGCAGTATTTGAGTCAAGGCACGGCGAAGCTGCCCCAGAAGCAAACTCGACACGCACACCCGTCTTAAGATCCTAGAGACCATAAACCACAAGCCCACAACACGCAAACCCCGAGACCCGGTTCTGTGGTATCATGCCCCGCCCATGCGACGCTTCCTTTCTGTGGCTGTGACTGCTGCCGCTGCCGGCGAGCTCGAGCGAGGTGAGCTTCGCCGGAGGAGCAGTAAGTTTTTAGGCATCAGAGTTATAATGTTGGAGCCTTGATAAACAATATCGTTGTCGCTAGAACGTAGAATGCAATTAGCGGCTTCCCAAGCCCGGTTCCAATCGTTCGAGCCCCGTTGTTACGTGACCCTAAACCCGAAACCCTAAACCCTAAACCCTAAACCCTAAACCCTAAACCCTAAACCTAGCCCGTGGGGACTTTGGAAAGCCTAGCAGGGCGCAGATTGGAGCGGACTGCAGCAGAGAACCCACATCCTCCAAGACTGCTTATATATGATGGTCTACTCGCTTATAGTATATATTATGCTCTATGCCCTTATATTATAGGTTATGTTCTACTCCCTTATGTTCGATATTATGCTTATGCCCTTAGATATTATATATATATATATATGTATATATATATATACACTTATATATACATATATGCACATACTATATATATATATATGTATGATGTTCTACTCCCTTAGCGTATATATTATGCCCTACTCCCTTGTATCATATATTACAGCACATGTTGGATCATATCATGTTATGTTATGTCACATTTTACTTTAGTTTACCACAGTAATTATAGTATACTAGATGTGTATATATATATATATATACAAATGTACATGCACATGACAGGCATGCATTGCCGTCCTTACACGAATGGGAGTGACACAAAGTTTGAATATTAGGGACACTGGGCTTTAGGGTTCACCCTTCGTCAACAACGCAACTGCCCGCAACCAAAGCCATAACGTAGTTTACGAACCCAAGATTTAATGCAATATAATGTACGATAGCATAGTGTAGCGTAGCGGCGTATAGTATATTATATATTGTGAGATTATACAGTAATCTAAGCATAATAGGTAATGAGTCCCTAGCACCCAAGTCCCTAGACCCGAAACCCTGAACCCTAAACCCTGAACCCTAAATTAAACCCTAATATAAACCCTAGTGTCCCTGAACCCTAATATGAACCCTACATCCACTCCGACAGGGCTCGCTGCGCTCTCCGCCGCAGCCGAAGTCTGTGCCTCCAGAGGAGATGCTGCAGGCATTCCGGGCTTAAGGCTGATCGAGGGGTATTCGACAGGGTTACTATATGGGCGCCTTTAAAGGGTTTTCATAAGGATCACGAAAAGAAGGGCTCTATAATGGTAGTGTAAGTGGTTTTGGGGGTTTGGATTTGGGTTTATGAGTTTGGGCTTTTCGGTTTCGAGGAACTAGAAGTTTAGGGTGCTAGCGGTTTAGGGGTTTTGGGGTTTACCGTTTAGGGGCTTACGGACTTAGAGTTTAACATTCCGCACGAACCTTTATGGTAACCTTCAAGGATAGCTTTCATAGCAACCCCTGAAAGGTTTCGGAAACGGGCATAGAGTTATCATAGATCAGGAGATGGACAAGTTAGGGCAGAAGATCGACATTCGAGACTCCTCCGCAGGAGCATATTCGCCATTGCATTACAATGCTTCAACCGGGCTTACGGTTTGGGGTTTTTGGGCTCAGGGTTGTCAGCTGGAAACCCCAAACCCTAAATCCAAAAAACCCTTCCTTTAAGGATTGCCGTAAGTGATCTACATTACAGATCTAAACCCTAAACCCTAAACCCTAAACCCTAAACCCTAAACCCCTAAGTATGGTAATCCTTAATGGGATCTCTCAAAGGAGCCAAATCTTTTCTGCTGCTTCTGGAACTCAGGGTTGCCCATTTACAGAAAGAAGGGCTTAGGGTTTAGGGTTTAGGGTTTAGGGTTTAGGGTATACTAAGCTTCAGGGGTTTAGGGCTTAGGGTTTAGTGGTTCAAGGTTTAGGGGTTTAGGGTTTCGTGCTTCAAGATTCAGGGATTTGGGGTCTAGAGCTTTGGGTTTAGTGGCTCAGGGTTTGGGGCTCAGGGCTTTGGGTTGGGGAGGTGAGTTTATTGGAAGTTGCAGTGTCTTGGGTAGCTGTAAAATCTGCATAAGTTTTACCTATAGTCTCCATTGTCGTTCCTTTTTGGGGTTACCTTATAGGATCCTTAATATAGAGTTGGTTAAACCAACAAAAGGAACTACAATGGAGACTATAGGTATGGGAGTTTCAGGGAAGGAAGCGGGGTCTTCCTTCAAAAGACCCCTACATCAGCTAACCTGAAGTTGAAGAAACCCCATATGTAGAGAGCGCCGGCATGAAGATCCATATGGACTTCGAGCTCTAAACCCTGAACCCTAAATCGAGAGGAGGTGGAGGTGTTCGGATTTCAGAGTTTAGGATTTCGCTTTGGAGATTCGGATTCAGAGCCTTGGGACTGGGTTTTTTGAGCTTCGGTTTTTGCAGGAACCCGAAACCCTAAACCTTCCACGGGATTTCGGAGCTTCATGCAGCTTCTGAGCGTTCGGAACTGAGGGCCTTTAAAGGCCTGGGGCTTTGGAGGTTGAGGTTTCGGGTTCGGGCTTAAACCTAAGTCTTACACCTTGCCTAAACCTTGAAGTTCTCAAGGGTTTATATAGTGTTTAGGTTTTGGGGTTAAAGGTTTAGGGTTTAGGCGGGCTTGGAACTGCCAAGTTGGAGTGTTGGACAGGAGTTGCCTTTGCGCGCTGCATTGAGGACTGATCCGTCTGTCGGCGGGTTTCCGTGAACTTGGAGTGCTTGGTGCTGAGTAATGCAATGTTGTTGTATGACTACGCACGAGATCCGCACCCAGTCAACTAAGCACTTCATACCCGCAAGTGCTTTCGAGCTCGTGCTAAGTTGTTACTATAGCTTTAATCTGCCGCGGGCAGATGGTTTGTTCCCATGACTTCGGCTATTCGCTACCCTTTGTTGCGGCCGCATGCTTGATTTGACCGGGATTAGAATCGTTCCGAAAGCTATAGCCGGCCTGTTCACGAAACAAGCATGGTACGGTTGGTGATATAAAACCTGCATTCCCCTTAATAAGGAGTATACCATAGTTCCCATAGTTTAGGGTCCTTAAGGTATTGCAGGATTCATATCATCAACGGTAGGAGGTGCTTGGGCCTTCTTGGCAGGATTCGGCTCCGTACCCGAATTTCCTGCTGCCGAGACCATTGCGAGTCGACTGCATTGGCAGCAAACTTCATTGCTACTGCTACTATTGTCTACTACTTCGTAGTACTACTACTACTACTACTACTACTACTACTACTACTACGACTACTACGACTACGACGACTACTACTACTACTCCTCCTACTACTACTACTACTACTGCTGCTACTACTACTCCTGCTACGACTACTACTACCACTACTACTACTACTACTACTACTACTACTACTACTACTGCTACTACTACTACACAGCCTGTGTGTGGGCAAACGACACGTGCCGTGGGTAGTAGTAGTTGTTGTTGTTGTTGTTGTTGTTGTTGTTGGAATAGCCGTAGTAGTAGCCGTAGCAGTAGTAGTCGTCGTCGTCGCCGTAGTAGTAGTAGTAGTAGTAGTAGTAGTAGTAGTAGTACTAGTAGTAGTATTCGCCGTCGTCGCCGTAGTAGTAGTAGTAGTAGTAGTAGTAGTAGTAGTAGAAGTAGTAGTAGTAGCAGTAGCAGTAGCAGTAGTAGTAGTAGTAGTAGTAGTAGTAGCCGCAGCAAAAGCACCATCCGAAGCAGCCGTTCGAGCAGCAGGAGCAGCCGCCGCAACAGTAGCCGCAGAGTTTGCAGAATATGTGCACATGGTTTCGTTCACGTTTCTGTCTGCTGTGGCTTGTTTGTAGGTTCTGGTTGCTCAGGTTTGACGAAGCCTTGCGGAATTCCAGCTGTCGTCTGCCGGGGGCATCCAGCGCAATTCGCCGTCACAATATAGGCCACGGACAACACGGGAAGCTAAAATCGGCGCTGAACTACTACTTCTACTACGAAGACGACGACGACGACTACTAGTACTGCTACTATTTCTGCTTCTGTTTCTGCGTCCACCACCACCACCGCCACCGCCGCCACCATCACCACCACCACCGCCACCCCCGCCACCGCCACCACCACCACCGCCACCACCACCACCACCGCCACCACCACCATGCCCTGGCTACCCCTAACCCTATCCCTACCACTACCACTAGCAGAAGCAGCTCCAGCACCCAGCACCACCAAAGCCACCACTACTGCTACCAGGCACTACCACCGCTACCACGCCCACCAGGCACTGGTGCTGCTGCCGCTGTAGCATCCTGACAACGGAGCGGCCACTTAGATGTTGGCATGTTCATGCTTCATTATATAGTTGCTTGTTAATGTCGACGGTATCGCTGCGTGAGTGAAACATGAGACATCACGTTCTTGATCGCGTTGTTAGTTGAACCTGCCAGGTGTCAGCAGCAGTGCAACCAACTGTTCGCTCCAGGACAGGAAGCTTCATGTGGAGGCGCTGGTTGCAGTTTGCGGTTTGCGATGCCCGAAGTAAAGCCGGGCCCTGAACCCTAACTCATGTCCTGGAGAAGTAGTGTGTAATCGTAGATTGGGTCATGCTGAACTCTGAATGTGGTTTACGTACGAGAGTGACGACTAAGTAGTGCTTGAAATGGGAGCTTGGTTTTGGCAGTCGTCGCAGAAGTTAATGTATCCGAAGCGTGAAAGCTGGCGAGAGCAAGTCTACATGTTGCAGGGCCTCAGTACATGGGTGCGGGGCTTGGACCATTGTTGGGAACATGAGTTGTTCTGACGCGTGGAGCTGAGAAAAAATCGGTGTTATAGACCTCAACTGCGAAGTCTTGAAGGTTGTACTCTTAGCGCTTGTCGGGTTTAGGGTTCATTGGTGTTAAGATTTCGAAAGTGACCGGAGACAAGTAAACCAGACGCTTACATGGGGAAAGGTCTTCCGGGCACGACCAAGGCATGACTTACGCAGTTGCCTGTAGGGTCTCTAAGCCCTAAACCGCAGATCCTACACGCCGAAGGCTGAACGCCCTAAGCTAAAACCAGTATAAAGCAAGAGATTCCCGAATTAGACCGCTGATTTCCTCTTGAAGCCCTACCTTGGACCCATCGGAGCATGGTATGGAAGAGTTGGGGATTCGGCTGGGCGTTATGATTGTTTGGGCAGGTTAGTCTGCAGCGCGCAGCCACCTTGCGGTCGACCCGGGGGTTGGGGGCTGAAACTCCAGAGCTCAACGTACATCCTGCATCCTACATTCGCGCAGGTATTCCGGGAACATCCCCCTGTCGCATGGCTAAGCATTGAGACGGGCGCCGGAACTGGGAAGTACGACCAAAGGCGCCACAAAGACGAAAGCTTCATTTGAGGTTCAGGAAGCCGTCTTTTGCATTGCAAAGCTTAGGGAGAGATGAGCCACGAGCGACGAGTCGTAGGCTGGATTTCCCCGACTTCTGACTACGCTCTACCAGACTTGCTTTCCCACACTTCATGCAGCCTAAAAGCCAGTTAGAAAAAAACGAGCCCAAGCGACAAAACCGCCCTGTCACGGCTTTGAGCACTAAACGCTTAAGGCATGCCGAAGTGAAGCCTTGAACCTAAGTCAAAGTGCCTGCTTGAACTCCATCAGACTGCATGTGAAGCTGCTAGAAGTCTTCAATGGTTCATCCGGTGGCAAAAGACAGTCATGAGCATGTGGCTTGGTTTTGTCTGTGAGGGCAAATCCGGCAGTACCCTCTATACAATACCCTTCTCATAAGAGCCGTTAGAGTGCTCTAGCATAAACTGAGGTTGCATTGATCAAGAGCTTTGCTTCAAGTGCAACTTGCGCACGGCTGCCGGTGGCTCGGGGCCAGGTTCCAACCGTCTGCTCGTAGCTGGCATCTGTCATCTCCGTGCTTGCCAACAACCTTAAACCCTGCAGCCTTCGACCCTAAAGCGTGAAGCCTTAAAGCCAAAAGCCTAAATCCTAAGCTTCCCTACACAGCCCCGAACCAAAATCTGTTTGTATAGCCCCTTCTAACACCCCACTACAGCCTTGTAGCCCCCATGACAAGCGAGCACCTAGGCTTGAGGTGGCCGGGGGGTTGGGGAACCTCTCGGATGCGGTGGCCAAGGGTGCAACTGCAGGATTCTATCGGAGGTGTCCCGGATTTCGAAAAGCTCTGATAAGGATCATATATGGGCGTGGGTGGGTGTAGGACTCAGGGGTGGGTGTCTCATTTGTGCGGGCTTTAACGTTTAGGTTGCAGGGTCACCGCATGACGCCTGCGCTTGCTTGCATGAGCGAACTTTGTTTTTGAAGGGGGTGGGTACAAAGTACTGGTCGGACCAGGGTTTTAGATTTAAGGCTAGGGGTTTCCATTAAAGGACTTGCTGCCTGGCTGTCTTCATAATCGATAGCGACGTCCTTGCCGGATTCCTCGAGCCACTGTACAGGAGGTAAACGGGAGTCTTACTCTGCTGTTCCATCTCAGCATGTACCCACATTCAATATTTGGCCTGACCACTGGCAACCCTAGACCCTAAACGCTAAACCCCAACCCTTAATCCCGAAGCTTGGATTCTAAGCAAATGGGAGTTTCCGAAAATAAGGGGTACCCTGTTTTGGGGTCCTTATAATACGGATCCTACTATTTAGGGTACTATATTACGGTCCCTTATTTTCTGAAACCCCCAAATCTGAACGGAGCCCAAAACTCTGCGTCTGCGACTGCTAGGCCACCAGGCCCAGTGTCCAGCCGTTTAGATACCTGACCCCCACCTTAAGCACCCCAAAACCCACTTTTTTGGCAGGTTCTTTTTATAAACCCTAATATGGGATTTATAGGGGCCCTGCAAAAAAGTAGGTTTTGGGTTCTTATAAAGGCAAAGCCCTAACTGAAAGCCCCAGGCTCCACGCCCGAGGACAAACCTGAAGTGTTGATACCCGCCTCAGCGACAGACCTCCGGTTCAGGGGTCAGAGACTACGGCTTTGGGTTGAAGCTCAGCATTCGGGAGTAGGGTTTATGGGGTTTGGGGCCCTAAACCCTAGACCTTATAAGCCCTAAGACCTAAACACCTAAACCCTAAATCCCTAAACCCTCAACCCTAACCCCTAACCCCTAAACCCTAAACCCTTGAACCCCTAAATCCCTACATCCCAAAACCCCAAAACCCCCAGGTCCTCCAGCAAGAACTTGGCCAACCAAGCGCTGGAGGCCGATGAGATCTTGCGAAGCCTCCGGTCTCAGACTTTTGGCTGATTTTGAGGGTTTAGGGGTTCGGGTTCAGGGTTTCGGATTTTAAGGGTTTAGGGTTT